CCCCACCTTCCTTGGACGTTTCTACGTTCAAATTCTTTTAAGTCTTTATGAAACCTTTAACCTTGCTTTTCACTAAAGTCACCGTTATTTTCAGGAAATTGATCAATATGAGAATCAAGAAAGGCAGCCTAATTTTTGATAATTACATACCATTCTTTTGACAATATTTATGTAGTCTACATCTATTGTGTTACCCAAAAATTTTGTTGACACCTCTTTAAAGCTTGACCATGCCGCTTTCTCGGATTCATTCATGGTTGTGTCAAAGTTTTCATCTCTAAATAAAGTACGGATTTCAGGACCGTCAAAGATACCTTCTTTTAATTTAGCATCTGATTTCTTATGAAACATTTTTTCAAAGTATTTAAAACATTGGCCATTTTTGTCCCATACCTTGACTAATTATTTCATCAACTCAATCTTTATATGCAGAGGAGGTATTAAAATATCAGACGGATTCACAAGAGGTTCTTTAAGAATATTCTGTTTTCCAGGTTTAAGTGAGTCTCTTGGTGGCTAATTCTGTATTTTGTAGTGATTTGTTCTATCTCTACTATCGAACATACACAAATAACATGGAAATTTTGTGAATCCAGATTGCTTTCCAATATCATGGATACAATTTTCAATTATCCATATATTTGCCAATTATGTTCTTTGAACTTTATTTTTGTCAAAATCAATTCAAAATTTGAATACTCTTTTTCAGGCGTAGTTGAATGTGCTAAAGGCATAGGAGCATACTTATTTGTATTGTGAACAAGTACTACTTTAAGGATGCGCTGTGATAAATCAATAAACAGTCGCTAATCCTCAGGTTTTTGCACATCTGGCTTTAATTCATCGATGAGTCCTTTATGTCAGTGCAGTAAACTAGATGCATCTTCATTAAAATACTTACGAAACTTTTCCTCTCGGCTGCGGTATGTACTTAATTTAGTACCCTTTGTCACCATATTTCTCCTCTTTATTTCTGAAGCTAGTAACTTCGATTGTTCTTTGGTTGAACCAATTAAATCGTTGAGACTTTTCTAATCATATTTGTCAACAGTTCGCACTCTATCTTTAGAAACATACTTTTCATTATTGTTTAGAGAAAGATTTTCTTCACTTTCATCGGATTCGTAAAAATCCTCATCTGTTGCGTTATGATTGTTGTCAGTTCATTAATTTGATTTGTCAAATCATTATTTACATTTAGAGTTCTCAAACCTAATATAAAACTATCCCGAGACTCTTCATTCTCGAATGCTTCTGTTACGTCTTCCGAAACTCAAGGTCTTAAAGAAACTCAAATTCTGTATACGTCAGCAAAAGTCATTGCACTTTCATAAACTCTCAGATAAGTGGCAAACTGAAAAATCTTACTCTGCAAATTGCGATGAATCAAGCAAAAGATTGCAAATATCGAAAATTTAACGAAATTCGGCAGCTATAAAAACCCGCAAAGCGCAAATAGTGTTTGCGCTTGCGCAAACACTACTTGGTTAGACAGTATTCAGCTAGTCATTTCCTGCATTTTTAAACCTGATTTACGAGACATCTCTACAATAAGATTAACTTTTTGTTCATACTTCTACATCATATATAAAATATACATGGAAAATATAAGTGAGCTTTGCCCACTAGATTTCATATTGATACGTCTTAAATATTAGGTTTAACGGGTAGCTAACGCCCAAGACGTAACAACTGGTTTCGGTACCTAACTATCTAAAAACGAATTTTCGTACAAATCGTTCGGATCAAAGTTAATAACGGTTGGACCACCAAATAAAATAAATAAATTAGCATAAACAAAAGAGTCATAGCTTTTGAAATAATATAAACAAAAACTGTAAATCGCAGTTTCTAAAATAAAATAAGCATAAACCGAAAAATTGTAGCTTTTAAAATAAAATAAACGTAAATCGAAATATTGTAGCTTCAATATTCTACATAAAATATAATATCTACAATTAATGCAACTAATCAATAAACTAGAAGATTACAGAATCACCTTGATTCCAATCAATGACCTACAAGTTACACACTGAACAGGAGCGTTAACATTCACAAGCAACAGCTGTAGTGGTAAATGAGCCAGATAAAATGATAACGCTATCAAAAAAAGATACAATGCTGTGCTTCTGAGAAATACAATAACTAGGTCACTAGAAATATAAGCTCAACATTTAGAGAGCAACCTGTATTTATTTGAGAAATGTTCAAATTAGCAATAACAGAACACCAGAGAATAAATCAACAATTCAAATTCAACTTACGCGTCAATAAGTAAACAAAATTCCAGAGCTTAAAAGTCAACTTAGTAATAAACTAGAAGAATTCAGAAGAAGTTCAAAAATACAAAGATCATCAGTAAAAACTCAGTACAATCAAACAAACGATACTGAATTAACTGATTAAGCTAATAAAGAAATCATTCAAAAAACCGTAATAAGAAAGAACCCAAAACTAAATTCCTCGAAACAAGTATACAGTGCGGCATCTTTTCACGCAAATACAACATTTGATCTCGAGATCAGTGGAAAATATTTAAAAATCGAAGGATATATAATGTAACATAACTTGTTATATTCCGCTATATTAGCGTTATATTCCGTTGGCGGGATATCCGGAAACTTCGAGAGACCACTATTGTAACGTAAAAGATAACGTAATAGATTTACATAAGACGAAAATAAAACACATATCCTTAGGAAAAACACAATTAGAGTTAATAAGACACTATACACTAACATAGCAGAAGAATCATTATAAGTAAAATCAATGAAATTACACTTAAATGATGTTACGAATTACGTCCCTGAATACGATGGAAAAAATTTATCAATAACAGAATATATAAAAAAAATTGAAACAAGTAAGAACCCTCATTGATGACATAGACGAAACAAACCTCACAAAGTAACCCGCAGAATTCTTCTGGGAAATGGCTTTCGACTAATTTTTTGAAACTTTGTAAGATGATAGTTCTTAAAACGTAGAACAACAGTCTTCATAGGCCCAAAGCTCCAAGGATCTTAGTTTAAGAGTTACAGTCTGTCAAAATCGAACTTTTTTATTCATTCGCTGTATAACGTAAGCACGGGAATGATGTTTTTAACGGAGATATATAGATATATATAAATAGGTATGTACTCATATATCGGTATAGGTATTGTCTACAAATGTATATATGTATGTATGTATACATGTATAAATATATATATATATATACTTATATACATTGGGTTATTTGGCTAACTGTCATCTATGAATAACCGATCAGATTCTTTTGATCACACTAGCCATGATATATATTCAGTAATATCATATATATATAATAATTCTTTCTAGATTTTTAAGAATAAATAAGCACAAACTTTCCCTTCCCAAATTAACCCTGATTACTGTGTGATTGACATTGCGGAGGATTAAAAGTATAAGGTTATTGCAATCGATTGTTCTTACCCTTTTCTATCAGATAATTAAGAAATATAAGCAAAAATACTAGAATAATTTACTTTTCGAGTTTTCGAAAAATTAATTATCAAGCTTTTCGTCGGATGCAGACAAGTTACGAGGGTTGTTTGTTCTATAGTCCTTTTGAGGATAGTAGAGCAGAATATCCGTGGAAACCTTTCCTTTGGTTTCTTTCTTCGACTTGCATAACAGTCCTTTTTAGGATAGTTAGCGAATTTAGAAATTCTACGAAATTGCAGTGCTACGTGTATAATGTTCAGTTGAATGCACGTCAGCTGGCATTAATGAATGGCATTCAGAATATCATTAAAAAACAAATAGCAATTACTAGACTAGATGAACGTAATTATCCAACTCTAGTCCTAGATGAAAACTCTAGAATATGTGTTAATTATAATCAGTTAATAGTTGCTGAAATTACTTTAGTAGATACAGATTCAGCCTGTTTGCGATTAAACGTTTTTACGCAAACAGCATCTCAAACTTGCATTATTTGCAATGCGCAAAATAACATCCTCAAGTTATCGTTAGAATGTAAGGTTCAGATTTTTATAAAGAGAAACATTTTTATACCAAAGAATGTACGTAGTTGTAAACTTCACTTGAATGACAGTAAGGTTTTCTTCGATCCACTAAAGCTTGGCTTGCAATTTATTCATAGACCGTATGTTAATAGAGGTCAGCAATATGTTATTACAGGTTTTTCTTCAAGGAAGGAGAAACGTGGTATTGGAAAGGGGTAAGCCAGTTGACTATAATAACTTAACTGATCAGGATTTTTAATGATTATTACCAATCAATAAACAACAGTTTGAAGAACTTATAACTTTTTGTGATCCAATAGTACAAAACGGAAAATTGGGACATATTCACAGGAAAGATTTATTAATTATTCTGTGTAAGATTAGGCAGGGATTGAGTGATGAATTTTTGAAAATAATTTTTGATCAGTCTAGCAGACAAAATATCAGTTTAATCATTGAATATGTCAGAACATCATGACTACAAAGATTTGTTCCAGAAAATATCTGGTTTGATGCCATAACTAGGTAGCAGTTTATAGAACAGCATGTAACAGACTTTGCAAATGAGCTCTACAATCCCGATCCTGCAGAAAGGAATACCATAAGTATAATTGACAGTACATATTCCTACATACACAAAACTTCTAACTTTCGTGTATTGCGACAATCATACTCTGTTCACAAAAACAGACATCTATTGAAACCAACCCTCATAGTAGCCCCAAATTGCTATTTTCTCATGATTTTCAGACCTTATTTTTCAGACCCTCGTAATAATGATGCTGAAGTACTTCGTGAAGAATCTGAAAAATGCTGATGGTTTAGCAAACTTGTTCACACAATATTGTACACGTAGTTCGGTAGATAAAATACTAGGAAGAATAAGAGAACAATGACAGTATTATTGACTAATATAATCTACATAAACATTGTATCATGATAACTTTTTCAATAAAGTAACAGAAAAATTTATCTAGTTAAGAAAAAAGCTGATAAAATGTTTTGTTTCAGGTTTTTGGATGGAATAGTGCTTTAGCAATGGTTTGTGGTAATACAACTGTATGGAAAAGTTCACCAACAACTCCTTTAACATCAATCGCCATAACAAAGATTATATCAAGAGTTCTAGAAGCCAACAAACTTCCAGGATCAATTGCATCCTTAGTTACAGGATCAGGCGATATTGGTCATATATTAACTAGTGATAAAAGGTAAGATATTCAATTTGTATAAATGAAATTCTCGTATCAATAAATTTAATATTAGCCTTAAATTGGCTCATTATTTTTGGATATTAATTAAATAAATATCTTTTGATAAATTACTCTAATAAATGATTCTAATACATCTAAAAGATGTAACAGCGATTAAGCCCGGCTTACCCTGTTAACATAAGAGAAAGGGACTAATGCGATAGGCCGGAATGCATCTGGAAATCTAGGTAAGGTCCGCGTCATCTAATGGACGGCTGGAGCGGCATGAATTCACTGTGATGGCTCAAAAACGTGAATTTTGATGGTACGCTAATAAAGGACGGCGCAAGAGTATAAAGCATTTGAAATAAAACAACAACGTATACACAGATCGACATCGGTAATCAACAAAGATTCTTTAATAAAGAAGCATTAACACAAGCGGCTTGAGAGAGAGAGAGAGAGAACTATCGGGCCGGTACTTACAAATTGAGCGTTCAGGCAAGCAGCCGAGTTATGTTAATCGAGGATCTCGTCGTGAGCGTTTCTACATGAGTACGAATACCGCATATAGCTCTATTAAGGCGCAGGTATGATACCTCTCTGACTTCCCGGGCTCGGTCTCGCGTTTTCATCTTGTGTCAATTAACCAGCACGCGGGACTACTCTCTACGGCGAAGCTATCCTTGCTCTATCCGTCTCACTCTCGTGCGTCTAGTGAGGCCCTGCGTATTCGCATCTCTCTCCGCTCTGAATTACCTCATGTAAAAGAGTGAGCATACTTGTACAAGAATGACTATAAATACAATAAATTGATTGATACAATGAGTTATAAAGTAAAATAAGTTGTACACAGGTGATTATTAAACAACAAGGAAAGAGATGTATAACGAGTAAAGAAATTTTACTTGTTATGAAGAAAATACTTCTTATTTTAATTTTGATAATATCTATTTTTTAGATCGAATAGCGAATAAACAGAAAAATTGATTTCTAAAATTATACAGGGTGGACAATTTTAATCGAAGCACCCAGAAATCTTTTTCCAGGTAAGAATGCGTGAAACATGTTTCAGACAAAAGTTGCTGGACTCCGAGGGGGACATAATCGGGTGACCTTGACACTGACCTTGAGGGTCATTTTCAAGGTCATCTGAAGGTCAACTTTGTTTTTTTAAATAGAAACCCCCATTTTTGACCTCGGATTCAGAAAGAGCGGGAAATTCTACGTTCAGATGACCTATTATACGTGGGGTCTGGGTGACCACCAAGGTCGTCCCCAACATCACGTAAAGTTCAATGTTATTTTTTTCTTAATCTTTCCACCTAACTAACCTAAGATCGGTATGGTTTAGAGAAAAATGATGTAGACAAAAGTTATTGCATTTTGAGAGGGGCATCTTGTGGTGACCTTAACTGCGACCTTGAGGGTCATTTACAAGGTCATTTGAAGGTCAACTTTCTGTTTCTCGGAATAGCCTACTTTTTTATCACGGATTCGAAAACAACAAAGAATTCGACGTTCTTGAAACATAACACATGTAGTATCTAGGTGACCCTTCCTGTAAGGGTTTTTTTGTTTAAGCTTTTTCATAAACCCGTTCGTAATTCTAACTTGAGTAACATTATTTTGAAACGACATTTTTTGTAATTATTAAGATTTCTTCGCAATGCTTTGTGATTCCTGATTAATTATTAATAAAAAAGATAATAAATATGATAATTTTTTCATGATAAATAAGATCAATTTGTGTACTGTACACTTTGGTGTGATTTATTTACCCTATCCAAGACACTCCCAAAACAAGTATTGTAGAAATTACTACTACTGTTACTACTAATAAAAAAGTAGAAACAAATTTGACCTTCAAATGACCTTGAAAATGACCCTCAAGGTCGAAGTTAAGGTCACCACAAGATGCCCCTCTCAAAATGCAATAACTTTTGTCTACATCATTTTTCTCTAAACCATACCGATCTTAGGTTAGTTAGGTGGAAAGATTAAGAAAAAAATAACATTGAACTTTACGTGATGTTGGGGACGACCTTGGTGGTCACCCAGACCCCACGTATAATAGGTCATCTGAACGTAGAATTTCCCGCTCTTTCTGAATCCGAGGTCAAAAATGGGGGTTTCTATTTAAAAAAACAAAGTTGACCTTCAGATGACCTTGAAAATGACCCTCAAGGTCAGTGTCAAGGTCACCCGATTATGTCCCCCTCGGAGTCCAGCAACTTTTGTCTGAAACATGTTTCACGCATTCTTACCTGGAAAAAGATTTCTGGGAGCTTCAATTAAAATGGTCCACCCTGTATATTTATACACATAATTATACTATAGACAGACAAGAAGATTGACAATTTTTGAGTAAATAATATATCGCAATTTTGAGACATTTTTATTGCATGTTTATTTATTCTTCTTCTATGAAAAAAAATTCTATATATTTTTAGATATTGTTCAAATTCTTAAAAATTACGAGTATAATTAGCCTTGTTTCTTTTATATATTCTCAATATTTTGTTAACACACGTAGACTCGAATCACTTTTTCCTTATGTAGATAGCTGCAGTAAACAAAAGAATGAAAGTTTTATAATTATTTGTCCTGGATAAACAATTGATGATTAACATTTGGATATTTTTATTTCACAAACAAGCAAAAGTTTTAATTAAACATGTGACGGGGAATTATTGCAGGTACCGCTATACCTTCTCTTTGTTGCTTTTCCAATCGAACACAGCATTAGGGCTCTGACAGAGCCTTTTTTTAATTATATATTTGAAAGTCATAAATTGCAGTTCTTAAATTGGAAGTGATAATTAGCAGTTATAAAATTCAAAATGACACTAGTAAGATGGAAGCATCTATCGATATTTCTTTCTTCAATAAAAAATTCTTTCTTCAAATGAAAAATATACATATATATAATTTATATTCTTCTTTTATGGAACTCTCAAACTATACTTATGTTCAATGAGCTTCTTCATCTAATATTGTAAAAGAATAATGAATCAATGCGTTTAGAAAAACTAAATTTTATTTTATTCCTTTTTGATCAATTTATATAGAATTTGTAACAATTTTGCAACGATACCAATTTTAGGGTGGGCAAGTGAGGCGCTCTCACTCAAAGCAATCGGGGAAGAGGGAGGAAAAGTTCAAGAAATAAGAGAAAGTTGAGTCTCAGAAAACCAAATTAAATTCCATAATTATCTTCAATCATACGCGTACAAAATCTCAATCACTAAGAAACACGTTGAAACTCTTAATATATCACACACACAAAAAAGAAAAGAAAAATAAAACTTAAACTCTCTGCACTCGCACAATATTAAGACGAACAATGTGATGTTCGTATCACTTATAAATAATAATAATTCGAACTCTCGTATCTAGCTAATGAGTAAGAATTTGTTTCCAATAATTTTACTCTACTTGTCAATAAAATAAATACATAAATCAAATGTATTCTAATAATAATAAATAAATAAAATATATATAAATAAGTACAATGTTTCAAGGAAAGTCAGATAATGCCCTAGTTTCTTATGGTGCGAATTGTCCCATAAGCAGAGCTAAAGTCTTTCTTGGATAGGATATAATTCGGCCCAAGTTTCTTACAGCGCGAGATGTTCTATAAGTCGAGCTCGAATTATAAGGAAGGATCAGTCTTGCTCAGTTAATCACAATGAGAGAAAGAACTTAGGTATTAGCCAAGTTTATTCAGACTCATGCGCTCACCTTGCAAGGCTAGAAGTGAATGCTAGCTTGTGCAAAGGTGGGCCTATTTATACACAGATTTTCCCGCTTATTTTTGCAGGAGAGATGTCATCGAACATTCGAGAGACATTCGCGAATTTTGAGTAATGAGTTTTCTTAATTTACAAGTAAATAATCATTAATATTAAGCTTTTAATATATGTAAACTTTACAAAATTTGTTATTTGTTGATTTTATACAATATACATTTATCGCAAATAGTTTCATCAAAAGTTATTGACTAATAAAGTTAATTAACGTGATATTATAATATCTACAATAGAAAATTAATAAATTTTTATGTAACTTTATAGTTGATTCAATTTAGAAGTATTTTCTAAAAATGAATATTTAAATTAGTTAATAACATTTGAATTATAACTAATTTTTCATATTTGTAACGGTTTTTCCTAATCTTATAATGCAATTATTAGATTAATTATCTAAGATTCCTAAATCATTGACTACACTCGCGTACCCTCTGATTAACCTTATTCCCTCATCAAGCCCACTTTCATGTCCCCTGATTAATCCGAACCTTCTGATTAACCTCATCTCTTGATTAACCTCACTCGCATACACCCTGATCAAGCCCACTCGCATACCCCATGATCAACCTCAGTCCTTATCAACCCCAATCGCATACCCCCTGAATAACTCCACTTGTCAAGTTAACCGTCAGAAATGTAAGCCCCCAGTTTATCCCTAAGACAGTTTTACCTCCAGAAGGATTAACCCAATGAATGGTGATCCGACGGGTTTACCCCCAGGTCACCGCTTGGCAAATATTTCCCCCTATAGTTGATTCAGGAGAAGTGATGTATGTTTAATTATTTTAATAATGCAATATTAATACGTTTTATGGTATCATCATATGGATCTTTAAATTCAATCGAATTTTTAAAGTTAATGATTGTATTGTATATAAGATCTGTCTTCTTGTCACTATTGATATTGTGAGCAATAATGATACTCTATAAACAAATATTGCAGGCATAGTAGTGTCTTGCACCATGCACATTTCATAATTGCTATATTTTCCAAGATTAAAATTTGATTTAATTGCGGTTAACGAGGCAAACCAAGATTGAAATTCTATCATAATAGTTTCTTCCTATTCAGTACAATAGGCCGATAGTATACGATAACATATGTAACTTAAGTGAACAAAACAAGTTTTGCAGTTGGAACTACATGAACAGTAAAAAACGGGATTGTGCATATTCTAGTAAAACTGAAAGTAATTTCTCAAGCAA